GTCTTTATTTTACAGTTAAAATATATGTTTATCAAATAAAGTCTAATGTTACAACTAATCAGGGATCCCTTTAAGATGTTAATTAAGTTTAGTAGGGTTAGGTATGTACCTGTGAGGTTAGGGTTAGGCTGTAGAAATAAGGGAAGTCAATACAAAATCCACACAAGTATAGAGAGACAAGTGTGTGTGTGGCCTAATCCCATAAAAATTTTTCAAAGCAATTCCAAAAGCTTACTATTGTTTGGAAAAAGAGCATCCAAGGCAGCTTTGTCCAGCTCCACCTCACACCTGCTGTGTGCTGTGAGAACGAGGAACAACTGGAGATGGTGGATGACGTGTGTTCGGCGCATATGTTTGGAAGATGGAAGCACAACTGGGGSATCTGAGCGCCGGTATGAATGCCTGTCTTTACGTGTGCGAGGACATATAAGAATGCATCAGTGCTCATGGCACAAAGCGTGGCCTCAGCTCTATTTAACCGCCGCGCTGAATGCCACAGAGACGCCAGTCAGACTCTGTGTGGCCGCATACCTTCACTGAAGAAGATATGGAAAAAATCTGTGGACCAGTAAGGCTTGGAGATTACACGCTCCTTTTGGCCCTGGCCTCAATAATGCCTTGAATCCAATGTTGCCATGTCGCTTCAATTTGGGGATTTTGTTTGCTGGGGGTGGGGTGGTTGGCGGGGGTGCATCTCCATTCTGTCTCACATAACTAAGATTCCTGGTGAGACTGTTGGTGAGCACGTGCTCGTGAATGGGCTGGCATGTGGAGAATGACCGAATGAGAGAGGAGATTATGTGTCAGAATAGCAGTGGATAAACTAAAACACAACATTGGCTTGATTTTTTTTAATTGCCTCTCAGCTACAATGAATAGGCAGTTGCAGCTGTCTGCATGAACAGCTGCCAGCCTGGGGAGACAGGAAACAACAACACAGAAAGAATCATATGAACACAATCAGGCATTTTGCAAATTCACAACTTAGAAAAACGCATGCAGGATTAGGAATCACTTATTGGAAAATCACATCTGTTTCCAAGGCAGCTTTCCCAGGGCTATCACAAAGATGCTCTGTGCCGTTGGAGAGATGGATGAAACTGAAGTATATCATTTGTTCTTTTCTTCCAGCTGTGTTTATGTGAAATTTCTGTTTACTTGCAACGATTTGCAAAAAACAGGGCATCTGACAGGTTTGATGGAGCAGTTGGTGTGAGGTTTTCTTGCAAAAAAAAAAAAAAAGCAAACGTCAAACTTGAATTAAGTACTGTTGTTTTGTTCCCCTCCCCTTCGGCCCCAGGCCTTGTTGCTGACTGCTCCACATCTATAACTCACTGGGAACACATGCACACATCCCAGAGTCAGCACGCTAAGTCAAGTCTGGGAAATCACATTCACTTCTACCTCAGCCTATGTCTGCAGGAGCCAACTGATAACCAAACACACATTACGGGACATGATCTCTCTTGTTTGCAAATTCTGCTCATATTGAGTTTTAGCTGCGCTGCCACATCAAAGAGGAAAAGCTGCAGAGCTTTCTGTTTTATTGATTAAAGCTTAAAATGCAGTTTCTCAGGTGTCTGAAGAAAAGAAAATACGTGCAAATGTGACTGATTTAAGATGATAATCAACTGCGTTTAAAAACTAGATCCAAACTGCTGGTCTGCAATGGACCTCGGGGAATAAAAAGTGCTTGTTCAACACGTTAATCTGGTCTTGAAATATCTCTRAATATAACATATTTAACTGTAAATCAACATGGGTGTGTTTGTGAGTGTAGCATGTGATCTTTTTTCCACTCAGTGCTTTCACTTCTTTTCTCTTTTCAGAAGTGCCCAACCCAGATATGTAGGAATTAGGCCCCATCACTCACTACTATCTTTCTCTGACCAAAGTGCCAAATCGTGAAACAGACAGCTGTTGTCATGTGCCTCGATTCCGACGGCTATCTGCCCCTCGTGYTGCCCGAGTTCTCAGTTGGCCGACTGAAGTTGCGGGAGGAGTGAGACGTTGTCGCTGTCTATGCACCAGTTTGCATCACAGAGTCCACCACAAGCATATCTGAGGTAAGTTTCTTGTTTGTTGTGTCTGTATGTGTGTGTATGTGTGTATGTGTGTGTTTCTCTCTCTCTCTCTCTAGTGTGACTCATGGCATTCCCAGATCCTCACACACCTGAGGCAGTTAATTAAGATTTGGAGATATTTCTAGATGATAGAATGATGATAAAATACTTTATGTATTTGAAAAGGCCATCTGCAGCCATAAATCTAACATCTTTTGGATCCCAGCAGAGCRTTGATAGAAGCTTCATTAACAAAGCGGGTGATCTTTGTTCGTGAATTTGCATGATCCCATAACACAGTGTCTCTGCTACGTGGGAAACATCTGCTGCAATCCAAAAAAAAAGAAAAAAGAAAAAACAAACAAACAAACAAGCAAACAAAAAAAAACAGCCAAGAATAATTTCGAATTCAGTGGAAACCAAATTAGTTTTTCTCCAACTTTCAGTGCTTTTAATCTAAATAAGAAGGAGGAATAAAACAGACAAAAACCTTACTAAACAAATGGCAGTAAAGTGAAAGTGAGTAATTTTGCTGTCTACAACTGGTGGAGTACAGTTGTCTGAGGGACAAAGGCAGACAATTAAGTGTTCTAACATAAATGCATTCAGATGTAGAACCTAAAGCACATGTCAAACCCAAGGCCCCCAAGCCAAATGTGGTCTGCTGGTGACTGATGTCCGGCCTGTCATTTTTTTCATTTAATCAAATTTAAAAGRTGAAAGATGATTTAATCCTTGTCCGACCCCTGAGCTGTTAATTTTGAGTAACTGTGGCCTCCTGAGCAGTTTAKTTGAATTGTCCTGYRTTAATCTCTCAAAATAAGCTGCTTTAAAGCCAGCATTAATCATAACATCTCCCACAATGCCTGTCAATTATTTTACCTGCATCCCACCACTAGATGAATGTGCACGGGATTCAAAAGTAGACAGCAGCCAAAGTWAAATCTACATTTAGCTGCATTTTCATTTTTGCTATAGCCCATACCARGAAGTGGAAATTTCCCACTTACAAGTTGTAAATTTGAACTGGAATGCCCTTCCAGTGGGAATTCCCTGTTGGAAAGTGGGAGAGTTCAGAATTCAAGGCAGCAGCTAATTATCACAACTCAACAGTGAGTAAAACTCTCTTATTTTACTTCAAATGGTATTTCTGTATTATTTATTTCACATTTATTCAATRGTACACGTCGYACTTTTCAGTGTTTAKAAGTGTCAAAACTCTGTTTCTAKGCAGGAAATACCATGTAGAGCTCAGTTATTGTTTGTCAGTGGTGCTCAGCCGAAGCAATGCGATGTTTCATGTTTAAATGAAGCTAAACAAGAAACGTCTAAGTTATTWAAAAAAACTTGTCCTTTGAGGGGCACCATAAGATCCTTGTGTTGTCCTCGATGAAAATGAGTTTGACACCCYTGATCCAAAGGATTGGAATCACACAGAGTACTCTAGAACCAGCTTTACCAAATGTGCCCTGTCAAGAAAAAATAGAAGTCTACAACCAGGGCAAAGCCTTTAACTGTAAATTTAACTTGTGTCAAACTARATRAAAAAAAACTTKGTGAAATTCAGCATTTAGGACAGTGACTGAAATTCTGCCTTTGCTTTTACATTTTCCTTTCCATCTGATCTGACGGCAAAATCATGAGCGCCGGGCTGACGTGTGCAGAGGCGTGTGAGCATACTTCTGATTTCTGAGAGYGAGGGAAGCTGACAGGAGAACGACAAGACATGTTCAAACAGAGTTACGCTTTTATGATAAGTCTCACGGGGGCTTTGTAGCAGAGCTACTTGTTTAAAACATAAATAATATTTTTTAAAMAGCTGAAAAATGCTGAAGAATTTAAGACCAGAGCGGTTTAACTCTACAAACAAACACAGTGGTGTAAGCAGGGTGTGGGTCAGAGGTCAAAGAGCCCTGAACTCCTTCAGACTGAGGACAGCAGAGCTTCCTCTGAGCTGCTCTCCATTTATTTTTCCCATCATCCCTCATCAGGCCCGAGGTGACCCTGTGACCCCAGAGCTGGGGTTATCTGTCATTTCACTGTCTACTCTCTGTGTCAATATTTGTTCTGTGAAGAGAAAAATAAACTGATTATCAGATGTGGAATCATTTTAAAGCTACAATCAGATACACTTTATAATCAGTTCTAATCTGTGGGGCCCAGGTGTAAAACAAAATATTAAAAAAAGTCACTAACACATTTTCATTACTTCGCTCACTTTCTGAGGGTAACATCCAAGTAAAAAATGTTTTCACTAATATTTTATTGTTATTTAGCTCACTGTGCTTACACTTTAATAACATGCATAAATATGAAATCTTAAATCTAAAACTGTAAATCTGGATAAAACTAAGTAAAACTTAAATATTGTGGCTAAATGTCAAACTTTACATGTAAGTTTCAGAATGGAGCACAGCCTTCGCTGTTGGTGCTCGGCTCTTGTTATGATGTCATCACCATGCGACAAAAGCAACTGCTAACACTGCTATTGCTTCCCTACAAAACATCAAAATTGMAGTTGCAACCAGTGTTAGAGCTGCACTTCAAATTTTTGGATAACAGGTCCCATCCACATTGTTTTCAATGAACACAGTTTGAATTTACATTTTAAATACCATCTTCAGCAGCATTAGTAGCATCAKCAGCATTAGCAGCATTAGCAGCGGCTGCTTTTGTCGCAGAATGATCATGTCTAACTCTGCTAAAGATGACATTTAAAATGTAAATTCAAAGTGTGTTCATTGAAAACAATATGGATGATACCTGTGATCCAGCAGTGCAGCTCGKACACCAGCCRCAACTGCAAGTTTCATGTCTCATAGAGAAGCATGAGCAGTGTTAGCATTSGCTTTTGTCTCAGGAKGATGTCATAACAAGAGTCAAGCRCCAGTGGAATATTACAAYTGGAGGGGGYGTTCCAGTTTAAATCTACCAATGGAAACAGGGAAGTYACCACTTCCCAGGACTACTGGAACGCAGCAGACTGCTTTCCAGTCCAAAATACTTAAATGTAAACGTCAACATTTAAGATTTTAAATTTTACATTTAGATTTACATATTTAGATTTATAATTTAACATTTGAATATATTATTAAACATTTTAATTTAAATTTTATTAAAAATTAGCAACATGTAAAACCAATGAGCTAATTAACAATAAAACTTCAGTGGAAAATATTTAACCAGGACGCTAGACTCAAAAAGAAAGCCAAATTTAAAAAAWAAGTGTTAGTGACATTTTAAAGCTTTTTTTAGCTTCCTGGTTGCTTCTTTCCCTCCACACATAACAAGCATGTGTGATAATTCCTGTTTACTTAAAGACAAAAGATCCCAAGCAGCACAGTAAACAGATGCCTGAGTAGTGAGAAGTACCTGAAAGACCTTCTCAGTTTGTTCTGTCAGCTATCAATCAGAGCACCGTAAGTGGGATCCTTGAGAGGAGATGCTATCAGCTTCGCCTCATATACACTCACACCACAGTTTCCCTTATCTCTGTAGAGATAACATATCACCACCGCCACCCYCCTCCCGCTTAACAGCAAGCGGCCTGTACCGCTCTCCTTCTTCTACAGCTCTGTCTCATTCTGGGCCTCAGCTGTGCTATGAGACACTTCATTTCAGACAGACACATACAAAAAAAAAAGTCAAGCAAAACAAAAACAGTCAATTTGTTCCAGGGTTCTGTGTAAAATTCAGCAGGCGTGTCTCATCTGTTGCATCGGCGTGGTGCTAGCAGAGGCCACGGAGGGCGCGTGGTGCTTCTGATTCTAATCTGATGTTATCAGCCTGCAGAAGAAACATGAGACGCAGTGCAGCTGACAAATTCAGAYGGGCATGAAATTCAACAAGAATAACAGCCATGAAACCTTATCAGTTTCCTGCCATTTTATGTACTTTTAATTATTTCTTTGGTAAACAACCCATTTCCAAAATTAATGACCTATTATGTCTGCTGATAACAGGAGCGAACAGATGAATCTGGGTTGTGTAATTAGGAAGAGGCACAGTTTGTTAGTGAGCTCAGTACTTCTATTTTTATTGGATKTATTTGATGACAGTAGGTTGTGGAGATGGTTCAGTACCAGCCTTGTTTTTTGTAGGTTTCCACCAGACCACAGCACATTTAGCCTAATAATAAAAACAAGCGTCCTGGTGTGGAGCTGGTCCCACAGTGTGAGGACTTTAATGAGGAACATGTGGAGCTGCCCAGACTCACTGTTAGAGGAAACCCAATCTCTTTTCTCCTCCCTTCCCCCCATTCTTCTATTCTCTCCTCCTCACTCCCCCATTGCTTTGCTCTACATTCTTTAAGTTCTGTGTTTTTTAACAATGCAGTGTTACTCTTCTGACTTCAATCATCTCCCAAAGTCTACCCGAAACTTGAAATTCTCCACCTTGTTTCTGAAGGTTTTTGAGACTTTCTGCTCTTTTTGTTGCACCAAAACAAGTTCCCAGCTGTCAGCAGGTCCCTTGCTTTTGCATTTTATTGGACGCGCTTTCCAGTCGTCCGCCCACTGCTTCATTCCTTACAACTTGCTTTAGCCGTAATAGCATATACATATGCTGAGGGCCGTGCAATGCAATCCGCTCATAAGAAAAGACAAGAAGAAAGAGCTCTTTCTCCACCCATCAAGCCTGACAGGCGCTCTCTGAGTTTCTTTCATGTGCTGAATTCATCCTTACCATCCACCTGGATCAATTCACTGTTTGCCTCAGTGGTCATCGGCACTGCAGGTCATTTAGCAAACAGCAGTTTCTTGAGTATAAAACAAGGGCTTTGATTTTGTTGGCTTTATGTAACACACGTTTGTTTTTAATCATCCTCACTAATTTATATTAAAAATCATGTGAACCTGTCATCACCTTAGGTAAATGATGTCTTTTGTTTCCCAGGAAATGACATTTCTTGCTTTTGAAGACACGCATTGCAACAGGTGAGGACCTTTGTTTGAATTTGCTGAAAGTTAAACCAATCAGTCACTAAACATTTCTCCACATTTGTAACAGTGATAAACAATGTGTAAGCTGTGTGGATTAAAGGAACAGCATCCAYAAGCAASCCTCYAAAAYTAGCTGAGCAAAATGAATAAYAAGGCAAGACAAGGCAAGAGTTTAAAATKGTTGGTTGATTTTCAAAACCTGAGACCCCAYGCAYGATGATAAGAAAATCATAGAYATAAAAGGTTTGGTCCTACAGTGTGTGGYGYACAGCCACACRATAAAGACAATCCACCAACAGATWTCCCTCACGAAAATTCAGATGTCAGACGTGAAATCTTGAGATCAAATAKGAGTTTAGAGTAAATAAACGGTTGACGAGGAATAAGCAAAGGCGATAGACTGTGGGTTATTTTTTTACTAAGAAAAAACAAATGTCTCCGATGTCCACCAGACTTTCTGGAGCTCCATGGCWGTTGTTTTGTCTTCTGYATTTTCGATTCCCATCCATGTTTCTGTCACCAGTATTTCTGATTGGCTACACATCRTATTCAACAGGCTGCAAACTTGTTTGTCCTTGGGGGAACACCACACACGCTGGGATATCGGGCCAAGACAATCCAGCATGTCGAATGTTCTCAATTTGGGATCAAAGCTGTCCCAAMGTCCTTCCAAGCTGACTAGATGAGTGGTTCTCAATTCTGGTCCTCAAGGACCACTATCCTGCATGCTTTAGTTGTTTCCCTGCTCTTCAGCACGTTTTTAAGTTCTGCAGAAGCCTGTCAATCACACATTCATTTAAATCAAGTGTGCCAAAACAGAAAAAAACATCTCAAACAAGTTGGATAATGAGCCTCGAGGACCAGGATTGAGAACCACTGGATCCCTCTTAACACACCATACATGGTAGGAATACCTCATCAGATTGTCTTCAGAGTCATCACAGTAACCTGGGCATCCTTAAGATTGTCATAAAGGCAAATTAAGTCAAAAAGAAAAAAATAAGTAGGTCCTCTGGATGGGCTCATCCTTRGTGAAACGTTTCATCTCYCRTCCAAGAGACTTCTTCAGTCTGATGAGTTTCAGGTGAACTCAGCCTTATAAGCACWGCCTCCACATGGACAAAYAGGTTAGTCACATGCAAAAGAGGGCCATYGCCYAACAATAGGCTTAGARGGTCGTGTGCACATGACCCTCTATAAACAATAGAGCTAATCAAGCCYATYGYTAGGCRATGGCCCTCTTTKGCATRTGACTAACCTGTTTGTCCATGTGGAGGCARTGCTTATAAGGCTGAGTTCACATGAAACTCATCAGACTGAAGAAGTCTCTTGGACGAGAGATGAAWCGTTTCACWAAGGAGGAGCCYATCCAGAGGACCTACTTATTTTTTCTTTTTGACTTTTTCTACCTGGATTACTGAGATRCATCRGGACAAAATYAAGTCAAAATTATCTTGTCGTGTGAAACATAAGGTAGATCCCTCTGGGATTATAAAGTCGCCACAGTGACCCAAAACACAGAATGAGTCAGACRTTCCACTCAGGCTGAGACATTTTCATCCCATATCACCATCATCGGCCAAAGGTTTATAGATGTGCATAACTGTGTCTACATGTCAGCTCCCACACAAACAGGGCCTGGTGACGACCTTTCACAAGACTAGCAGGCCACCTGAATCACACAAGTGTTCCACCGGAGGAGCCTGCAGAAAACCCAGTGATCCAGTAACTGTCTGGGTTCACTTCTCTCTCATAAAATCCGGAGGGAGGTGCAGAGGCAGACCCATAGCTGCACCGAACCAAATGTTCCAGCTGCACCCAACGAAAGACCAAACTTTAAACTTAATCACAGGAATTGCACAAATCTTAATCGTCGATTTACTTAATAATATCCGTGTTTTAGGCAGTAATTGCTCAGTGCGTTAAAATTCTTCCATYGCATGGCACAAATAAAAGCCCCACAATGTGTCTCAGGCAAAGGGCAGAAATCTGGTGAGTTGGTGTCGCCTTGCAGATGGTCGGGCCTCGCAGCAGCTGTGCAAATGAAAGACAGAGTGCTGTTGAAGGAGTGAGAGGGATGGAAAGTTGGCTACAAAGGGGAAAAGCTGCTAACTGAAAATGTAATGGAAAATGTACTGGTGCGAGAGTAGATCACTGAGTGGAGAACTACTTTTTCTTTTCTTTTTTTTTTTTAATTTGAGAAGAGATAAAAGCAGGTTTTTGTCCTGTTGTACCTCCTCACTTGACACGTTACAACTATTTTTAAAAAGTTTGCAAGCCCAACTCAAATAGCTGTGTTTGGTATTTGGCACTCATGTATGTCAGTCAAGCCAAATTATTTTAGCACTAAGTCATGTGTGTGTGTGTGTGTGTGTGTGTGTGTGTGTGTGTGTGTGTGTGTGT